CTCGCTCAGACTGACGTCTTTTCCGTTGGTGATACTGCTGTGTAACAATAACTCACGCACACACCGCCAAATAACGCTACTCCAATCACGTGGGCGTACAACGTTTTCTCTTTGATGTTCGTTTTTTTCCGTTTGTTCAAACGATGGACTCCTTGAACACGCTCCTATTATTCACGCATGCGTGTCATACTCCCTTTCCTTCCCGAATAGAAAGATCAAACTCCGGCGGGTATCTGCTGTGTGCATGACACAAAACGATTCGTATGCGCACAGCCTGCCCTGTGGCGCAAGATACGTAATAGTGCTTTGCCTCTGACTGTTGTGCTCATGCTCACAGCTGAGTTGGACTTGGTATTTCGTGACGGCGAACGATGCTACTGATACCACTGTTTCTGTGTTGGCTGTACTATTAACAGGCTACCGATGACATGGAGCTTCGGTTGAGCCTGCTGCGAAGAAGAGGAGAGCTCGTGGCACATTTCGCCAGCTGCTGTGCGTCCATTCTGAAGAATATTGACTCGCCGTAAAGTAGTGGACATGTCTACCACCTTCATGTGCAGGCTGAACCCTCCATAATATCCTCGCACCGCCCCATTGCTTTCGTGCATTGGTGATGGTGTAGGTGAAACACATGTGCTTGTGTATTGCGGTGGTGTTACGATTGTGCTTTCGGTACACGCTCAAGTCTGTTGAGGAAAGGGCCAAAGAGGACACGATTCATAGAATGCTGCAAGACACACTGCACTACGTGTCCGACATATAGTACACGAACATCGTGGTCGCGACATTTCGTTGCGAACGGTTATCTCAACGCAAGAGGAGGCGTCTCTCGAAATGTCCCGGTATTTGTTTTCGTCGTAGGATGGCTGACCACCACCCTGCTGACTCTTGCGTGCTTTATACATTTTCCCTCAGGGCTGGAGTCTGACATGCGCAAGGGCATTTTCCTTGCGGATCCGCGCGACGTGGACTCCATGCTAGCGGCCGCGCATAGAGTACATGGTCGCCAAATGCCCCCCTGCGGCTGGTGAGAACTGGATGTAGCATTGTAGCTCCGCCGCACGAAAATTCTTGTATGGAACTATGGGTAGATTTGGCATGATCCCTCCCCCCTCACGTGCGGCCATCAATGGGCTGACTGCACAGAGTATTGAAAGGGATACGGAAACGCAGCAGCCGTCCCCGCTTTAACCCGGGCAAGATGGGTGTAACTGTAAAGGCAAAGCCCACCCCCGTAAAGGCGTGATTGTCTCCGGCCCCTTGTCTGACATCGTGGGGGGGGGGGCACTGCTATGGTATCGCGCTCTTTTTCGTACGTGAACAGGGAATCTCTGGGCCGCTTCCCCGAGATGGCGGTGAGAGAGCACTTCTTAGAACAGATGCGGACGTACATGATCGGCGGGAACACATCGGCCTCGCCACCGGACTCGCCGCACCCCATGGGGCAGCAGCACGGGTCAGACGCCGCGACAGGCTCTCTCGGCGGTGGTGACAGGATGCGGCAGCAGCAACACCACCAGCAGTTACAGCACCACCAGGCAAGTGAATCGTGACTGTTTTTATTGTTAGCATCGACCGCGCCAACCGGCTGACCAATGAAAAGACGTCAGTATCATCAGCGCGTTTGAAAACACGAAACGCCTCTTAAGGCCATGATCTGAGAAGCCGTTGTGTGTTCATTTTTTGAGTCGACCACGCTAGCCGACTGACCAATGCATAGTCATCGTCAGTCTCAGTGCCCTGCTAGTTCCAAAACGCTTCTGAAGTGTTCGAAGTGTGTTCGAGAATCTTCACGTAGCATGGACGGTGTTTGCGTGTGTCATCATCCCACGTTCTCCGGGCGTCAGTTGTGCGCCTTTCGGCCTGTTTGGATGCACCAACCGGAGTCACACTGTCTGCAGTGAGAAACTGCTACATAGATACTACGATGAAAACATGCCCGAATGTCGGTGGTGTCTCGGTTACCAGGGTCTGCAGGGAAAAACTGTTGCATTGATCCAGCAGTAATACGATAAAAAACACTCCCGAAAGTTGTTGGTGTCTCTGTTGGGAATAGGCCAAATGACTTAAAGCAAGCAAAGCTAAGATACCCCCCCCCAAGTGGAGAGCCGCTATTGGCAAAGTAGGAAAGAGCGATTTGCCATCGGTGAATCGGTGCTGTGGGAACAATGCTCCGTCCTTTCGAGGACGCTTGGTCAATGGTCTAACCGTTAAGGCATGCAATACATAACAACACCCCCCCCCCATCCCCCCCTTCCTCATTTTTTGGTATTCGGTGGAATGAAGGCATTCCATGGCGGTGCTGCTTCTCAGGCTTCGTGGCAACTGCAGCATCAGCAGCAGCAGCAGCAGCAGTACCACAACTCTAGCCTGTACGGCCGAGGAGGGGGAGGGAGCGCAGACCAGGCGTACCCGCTCCAGTACTGGGGAAGCGGGTCGGGGGCGGCAGGTGCGGCAACGAGCGGGGTCGGCCCGAGCGGCGGCAGCGCGGGCGGGGTGCTCAGCTCGGGCGACTACGGGCGCGTCCGTTCGCCAGCCGACGGCTCCGACTTCCCCCTTGGAGGGGGCCAGGCGGCCCGGTCTCTCGGCTACCCGTCCATGTTCTACCCGGGCGACCAGCCCTCCAGCGCTGCTGCCGCGGCCGCTGTCTCCGCTACTAGCGGCGGGGGCCACGGGCACCACCCCGCGGCGGCGGCGGCGGCGGCGGCGGCGGCGGCGGCCGCAGGGGCGACGTCTCCCCCTATGCGAGGCCCGATGTTCCCGTCTCCTCCCGGAAGCAGCAGCAGCGGCAGCAGCGGCTACTACCACGACACGAGGGCCCCGGGGGGGGCGGCAATGCGCGGCAGCAGCAGCAGCAGCAGCAGCGTCAGGGACAGGGAAGGGCAGATGGGTGCCATCGGGTGGGGGAACGGGGTGGGAGCGGGAGACGCTATGAATGCCATGAATGCACGCGGCGGCGGTGGCGAAGGAAAAGGCGGGGGGGCCCGGGAAGCTTGGCGACCGCCAGAAAGGTGGGGAGGGGGTGGGGACATGGCGAACCCGTCAGGGCGCGCCGCCGGCGCCGGCGCCGCGGGTAGCGCGCTCCCGTCCATCTTCGAGTTGAGGCAACAAGGGGGTCTGGAGCAGGCTTCCAACAATTTTATGACTGGGATGGCTGTAGGGTCCGGGCCAGGGAGTGGCGGTGGCGGCGGCGGCGGCGCCGCGGCATGGGGCAGGGTAGGAGTGGGGGGGGGGTTTCAGCAGAACCAGTCGGTGGCGGGAGGAGGGCATGACCACGGTTGGGGGGGTGGCGCGGCGGCGGCGGCAGGGCAGCAGCAGCAGCAGCAGCAGCAGCAGCAGCAGCACCAGGCGCTGGGGGGACACATGATTCCCAATGCGCGGTGGCAAGAGGCGGGGATCGGCGGAGGGGAATCTGGGCCGGGGGCTGGGATATCCCGGGGAGGAAATTTTGACCATCCTCACGGCGGGAGCTCCGCCGCGCGTGGTGGTGCAGGTCAGCACGGCCCTGGGGGTGGTGGTCGATAACGCGAGAGGCGAAATACGTATGTCCTCGCGTTTCTTTGCCCGGCGGTTGTAGCCACGCGCGTGGACGAAGCGAAAGGGGTTACGCCGCATCTCCGACCGCGGTCGCGGTGGACAAGCAGTATGAGTCGCACCAGGTGGTGCCCTTTAAACAGGCAGGTTTGTTCAACACGTATGCTAAGGGGGGGGGGGGGGGGGGGTTTTGGTCCCCCGGTTAGGGGGCG